GACTGTTGATTTGTGAAACAAGTCAGTCACTTTGGGAGGTAGGGAATGCCTCCAGCACAGCAGTCAACAGTTCACTAAGCACCTCCTACTTTGGCAGATACATTGATTCCTTCGTTGCCTTTTCTGCTGTTCAGGGTGTAGCAGACTTACTTTGGACCATGTCCTTTTCCTCAAGGAAAAGACCAATCAAAAAGCCATCTAATTTAAGATTTTAATTTGAGGGGTGCCTTATTAAAACGGCACAGGCTCTTCTAGCTTTTACTTCTACCCTGTACTCTGAATATATTTTTTTTGGAATAAAATATTTAATTTCCTGACAGGAGAGCAGGGAGCTTTTTCTTTCAATCTACTCAGGAGATTGGGTCTTACAGCTTGGCCCTTTCTTAGCAACGTATCTACATTTGTAAGCAGAGGTGCTATGGGCCAGCTTTCTGGACCTCCTGTGGCTGAAATAGTCACTGCCACAGTTCCCAAGTGCAAAGGACCTTAACTCTGTTGCTTCTGTCTCTTTGCTCTCATTCACTCCTGCTGCTGCCTCCTCCTTTCCCCTCCCCAACCCCACTCACTGCGTTGCCACCGGGATGTATGATTTTTGTGTTTAATTTGTATTCACATGTTTAAAAAGTGGTTGTTACTTTTCAAAATGTACTTGAAAGACAAATCTGTAATAAATTTGTAGCAATGTTTAGTATAAGTGAGGTTCCGCTTCTTGCCTCTTTACACATTTGCTGTTGAAAGGGAGCCCTTTGCTCTGTAGCCAAGGAAGTTGCTAGGACAGGGTCACGGGATAGTTCTCACTAGAGGGTACATTTCAAGAAAATCAAGTGAATGGCATGGAGTAATTTATGTCCACTCTGAAGACAGTCAAAGAGCATTTCTTATCCCCGCTATTAGAAATAGGGTAAATACTTAAAAATGATGTATTGGAACATATGAAAATCCAGTGAAAAACACAATTTGTCTTGGATTCTAGCTACAAACAATCCTGAAAACCACCTTTTCCTGAGTCCATATAGTTTCAGTAATATCCATAAAAGCACCTGTCCTCTAAATGGATAGGAGTGAAGAGTGGCAGTCTAAACAAAAGCATTTTTTCATGATCAGATTTTAAATGGTTCAATTCTCAATACTGTCTGATTTGGAACATCTTATTTGTTAGAAACCACTAGTTTGTTACAAAGGAAATAATGATGGAAATTCTTTTATAGCAATGTATGTCAAGCAACTGGGATGTTCTGGTTTTGAGCCATTTCTCAATCTACATATACCTTCCCCAACTACTCCCCTTGTTAAAGAGAAATTGGTTCAAGGGATCACAGATACAGTCATGGCCATAAATGTTGGCACCCCTGAAATTTTTCCAGAAAATGAAGTATTTCTCACAGAAAAGTATTGCCAGTAACACATTTTGCTATACACATGTTTATTCCCTTTGTGTGTATTGGAACAAAACCAAAAAAGGGAGGAAAAAAAGCAAATTGGAGATAATGTCACACAAAACTCCAAAAATGGGCTGGACAAAATCATTGGCACCCTTTACTTAATATTTGGTTGCACACCCTTTGGAATAAATAACTGAAATCAGTCGCTTCCGATAACCATCAATAAGCTGCTTACACCTCTCACCCGGAATTTTGGACCACTCTTCTTTTGCAAACTGCTCCAGGTCTCTCTTATTGGAAGGGCGTCTCTTCCCAACAGCAATTTTAAGATCTCTCCACAGGTGTTCAATGGGATTGAGATCTGGACTCATTGCTGGCCACTTCAGAACTCTCCAGCGCTTTGTTGCCATCCATTTCTGGGTGCTTTTTGACGTATGTTTGGGGTCATTGTCCTGCTGGAAGACCCAAGATCTCCGACGCAAACCCATCTTTCTGACACTAGGCTCTACAGTGCGACTCAAAATCCGTTCGTAATCCTCAGATTTCATGATGCCTTGCACACATTCAAGGCACCCAGTGCCAGAGGCAGCAAAACGACCCCAAAACATCAGTGAACCTCCACCATATTTCACTGTAGGTACTGTGTTCTTTTCTTTGTAGGCCTCATTCCGTTTGCGGTAAACAGTAGAATGACGTACTTTATCAAAAAGCTCTATCTTGGTCTCGTCTGTCCACAAGACGTTTGCCCAGAAGGATTTTGGCTTACTCAAGTACATGCTGGCAAACTGTAGTCTTGCTTTTTTATGTCTCTGTGTCAGCAGTGGGGTCCTCCTGGGTCTCCTGCCATAGCGTTTCATTTCATTTAAATGTCGACGGATAGTTTGCGCTGACACTGATGCTCCCTGAGCCTGCAGGACAGCTTGAATTGCTTTGGAACTTGTTTGGGGCTGCTTATCCACCATCCGGACTATCCTGCGTTGGCACCTTTCATTAATTTTTCTCTTCCGTCCACACCCAGGGAGATTAGCTACAGTGCCATAGGTTGCAAACTTCTTGATAATGTTGCGCACTGTGGACAAAGGGAAATCTAGATCTCTTGAGATGGACTTGTAACCTTGAGATTGGTGATATTTTTCCACAATTTTGGTTCTCAAATCCTCAGACAGTTCTCTTCTCCTCTTTCTGTTGTCCATGCTTAGTGTGGCACACACAGACACACAATGCAAAGACTGTGAACTTCTCTCCTTTTTATCTTTTAGGTGTGAGTTTTATATTGCCCACACCTGTTACTTGCCCCAGGTGAGTTTAAAGGAGCATCACATGCTTGAAACAATCTTATTTATCCACAATTTTGAAAGGGTGCCAATGATTTTGTCCAGCCCATTTTTGGAGTTTTGTGTGACATTATGTCCAATTTGCTTTTTTTCCTCCCTTTTTTGGTTTTGTTCCAATACACACAAAAAGGGAATAAACGTGTATAGCAAAACATGTGTTACTGCAATACTTTTCTTTGAGAAATACTTAATTTTCTGGAAAAATTTCAGGGGTGGCAACATTTACGGCCATGACTGTATATGTGCTATTTGACTTGCTTGTTCATGAGTGCTGCATCTCTTACTGCTGTTGTTCAGTCCAACAGAGTAATATTATGATGCTTATGTTGGTAGTTCCCCAGCATCTTACCTCCATTGTTGCTATTTGACATTGAGGCAATCTACACTATGGATATCATTTTTTCAAGTAAATATCAAGTAACTTAGCAAAAATTCTCTTTTCATTGGTTGTGCATTGGCAAGAAGATTAACAGTTCTGAGAAATTCGGCTTTGTTAAAATTTGGAAATCATTCTCGGTTTCTCCCACATGAAGCATACTTGTTTTGTAACTGGAAAGCCTTCAACTGACATTAACAGCCAGATAAGACAGTCAAAGCTTATGGTAGCTGTATAAAGATAAAGTGTGACCCATTTGTAGGACAGCAAGTTGGTGGATTGCTCATCTAGATGCTTATTTATGAAAGAACTTCGTTATGAAACAATACAATGGAGATGACTTGGATTTAGAAAACCCGTGCATCTTGTGTTACAGAAGAAAGAACTGAAGCTACAATAGTTGTAGTTTATCTTAAAAAAGGGCGATCAAGTGTAAAGTCTTTATATGTTGCATAGCAGCGTTCACCATATTTACTTGGGATTGGGTTATAAAACTTTCTCTAAAGGCTACTTGAGCATAGTGTAGCACGCACATTCAATTTTTTACCCAGGCGCTACTCCTTTGCATGTCAGGAGAACAATGGAAAGATAAACAAAGGGATCAACTCCAAATGGTAGGCATTTCAAATCTAAAAAGCATAATTATATAATGGAAAAGTATTCAACAGGATAGCTTTTTTTAACTGGGAAATTTGTAAAAACACTCATGCATCATTTAGCAGGCATGGAGGTTTTCTAAAATGACCACTATAACAAAGCAGAAATATGCTATGCAATGACTAACAAAAATGAAAAGTGTGTAGATCTTAAACATAGCACTATAGTACTGGTTTTAAAAGTCAATTGAAAGGCAGAAGAATATTTCTTGCTGAAATATTGCCTCTAGTGTCAATTAGCAACTCTTTCAGAGCATATTGGTTTATTTTTTTTTATATTCTCACGTTTGAGCCACATTCTGATTTCCTTTCTATGGTAGAGTTGTAAAGATTACTTCAGCTAGATAAGATTGCCAGGTAATCGTACTAGATAATTTTTCTTCCCATCTTCAAAGTTTGGTTCCCTTACCACTTAACCATTTACTTACCAAAGTGTCTTGGTAGTCTTTGTAGACATTTAATTCCTTTGTCTAATTTTTTTCAATGGTCAATTTAAAATGCTTTACTAGTCATTTGTTCCAAATATATATAATATATACTGTATATGTTATGATGTAATGGCACCTTTATAGCCTTCAGAAGTTCTTCAATTTACAGGTACAATTTATAGGGGGCCAGAGGCAGAGCTACATCATGGCTGAATCCAGAATCTATAGAACATTGAAATAGCTTTTTATTTAATGTGTAAAGCACATTTATATTGAAAATCTGCAGAAGGCTCAAGCTGTTTATGACCTACAGTAAATGAAGCTGACTACAGTTGTCATGATTGTTTACCTTATGTAGAGCAACATTAAATGCTGTTGAGTAATCTAGGCATTCATTAACACTTAAAAAAAATACTAGCTTGAATGTAGATTAGAAATGATTTATTTATGAAGCGCTACATGCTTTACACCCTGTGTAGCAAACACTCAGTAATTTCTATTGCTATGCCTAGATCCCTTAGGATGGGTTTTCCCTGTAACAGCATGCTTGATACAACTTCATTTCATGGAAACCAGGAAGCCTTAAAGCAAGGGAGTTTTGGAATGTGTTCAAGATCAAAAGATCCTCACCTCTGTTATGTGTTCAGACTTTGTAGACTCATTAGTTTGCCTTTCTATAAAATGAGTATTTTGTACTTAATTGTTACAAATGTATTCTTGCAACCAATATTTTATAACCTCAGAACCCTAAAAGTTCCACATGTGCCCACTATCCCTAAAAGTTTGAATAAAACTGCTCTAGAAATTTACACAAAGCACAAAGATACCCAAATATACCTATTGTAGGCTTTTTATTACATAATACACAGCTGCAACTCCTAGAAATAAATACTTCAAAAATTACATCTTGCCACTATTCCAGTCTTTTTATAAGATGTTTAGGAATCATTCCTCCTTCCTATCACAATTGCTCCAGATGAAACGTATCCCTGGATATCATTCGAGGAATCAATGCTCCGGCCTAGAAAGAATTAAAATGTTAGCCTTTTCATCTTCAGAGCCATACCTTTCTAATCGAAAACATGTTAACATACTTATTCTTGATAATATAATTCAGAACATATTGCAATCAATTTTACATCATTAGCTATAGTGAAATGTATTTGTTTTCACATGATTTGAGTTTAAGGGGAAAAAGTACTGGAAGAAAGTCCTCCAGAAAGAGTCCTTTCGTCTCTTGCAAAATGGTACTTTTCCATTTTGCAAGAGACGAAAGGACTCTTTATGGAGGACTTTCTTCCAGTCCTTAAGATGGCAGGAAAGTATGTTGGCGTATTTTGTACAGCTCTCGGTCTCGATTCTATTTCAGTTAACACAGCCAGTATACAGTTCTTAACGCTTGGCACAAGAATGGAATTGGTGGTATCTTTTGACTTCACTTACCCCTCAACAAATATCATTAGTTATTGGGAAAACCACTCCCCTAAACTTGGGATGGGAATGGGAAGGAAGGGAGTTTTGAAGATGGCTGAAGTGGTGGGTTTAGGCCATTTGCAAAACAAAAAACCACTGGTTTTGTGCATGTCTTTCATGTGGGTATATTCATCTAAATAGATCCCTTTCACATGGGTTTAGTGCTATTCTGAAATAGTATCAAATTTGGAATGCCTTGATTCTGGTGTAGCACTAAACCTGTGTTTACAAAAAATATATATATCCCTTCCTCATGTAGAACAAATAGCCTCAGTTTTGGCTGAGAACAGATAGATTAGGAATCTGGTGCAAGTGCCATTTTGTGCTTGTCCAATATATAACTGAGGATCAAGAGGTAGAACTGATGGGGATACACACAAAATGGGTGAAGGTGCCGAAGAAGCCAAGGAAACTGAATCGGATTCTCACCATTTTTTAAAATCAATTTTCAAAATCAGCTTCATACTCTATCTAGTTTCACAGCTGGAGGATTTGTAATAGCCCTGCATGATGGAGGGTGACCAAGACCATCACTTTCTTCATATCCCCATCCCACGTGCATACACTCCTGAGAACTAGCACTCTTTTCATCAAACATTTAAAAACTAGGACACCCAATAAGCACTTCAGAAAATATCAAGGCATTATGTGGGCAGATGTCTCTACAGAATCTAGTTGCTACTGTGGTCCAAACCAAAATCCACCCCCACCCCCCGAGAGGACAGCTGTCATGCTTGCACCAACGTAAAATAGCCAATAAAAACTATACAGATCCTACCTCTTCTCAATGAGGTATCACAGAGTAGAACTTAGGTAAGAACAAAGTGGGAAATCCTAATTTTAAATGGAGTAGTTGAGGGTGAATTTAAACCACTTCCACCCTTGGGTTCAGGACAGGACAAAGCAATGTCATGAAGACACATCCTTAACCTTCAAAGTGTAGTTACGATATGTGGTTGAGACCAAGTGATTTTAATACTTATAACATTTATGGAGGCTAAAAGATTATATTATATCTTATTGTCTTTGCTCTTTGTTTGCACCCAAAACAGAGACGCTGGAAGAACTGAAAGGTAAATATTAACCCATACCTATGTGAGTTGATATGTGCATATTAAGGCTGCTTGGACACATTTGAGACTCATCTATAGGCATTATAAGTGGTGCTAAAATGTTACCATATCACATAAAACAAAATGTTTTAGTTTTTTTTAACTATAAGAACCGTGTCTCTAGGTACTGTCTAATATGTGCATTTTTATTTTCCACAAACCAGGCTTCTCACCTTTCTCTGACCATGGCACAGGCTAGTATCTGACATTACAGGGAAGTAATGAATAGAGTAGGCTTAAGAAGACGTTAACTTACATGACAAAATATGCACTTGTACACATTTTTGAAAGAGCGAGCTTTTGTTTCAGAATATAGTTTTTGATAGCCAATTCTTTAAAAAATGGAAAGTTTATAGACAAAAGCATTGGATACGTGGGAAACCATTCTCAACCAAACTGCCTCCAATCAGGCTACTGAAGCAGCATGCCAATGAATTTGGTGACTACATCAGTTGTCCAACTCATCTAGGAGGTAAGAAGTTGGGCAAGGTTGTAGGTAAAGAACATAGCATTTTGCAATCCAGAGGGCACAGCAATCCAAGTCATTTGTATTCTAATCCCTTACCTGCTCTTTGCTTTCTGGGAATACAGTGCCTGATGCAAAGGGCATCAGAAGATGGCTGGGTGGAATCACAGATTACTGCGCTACAGTGGATGTAGATCTGAACAACAGACAAAAAGCACCAAGCATCACAAAACAGTTTGAGAACATCTTACTAAAGAACATGGCAAAATACAGAAAATATAGAAAATACTTCTTGTCCCCTTGGGAAGAATTGAATTCAACTGGTTTTAAAATAAAACTGAAATATTCCAGTTTTAACACAATATTACAGAAATATCCTTGTAAAAGTTCATAGCTTAGAAAAACTATATTATTGTCATACAATATCTTTGGTAGGGAAATAAAGACAATAATGCTATCAAGGCAGAATGTTGGAGGAGAACGTTATCAATGGAACAGTCAATTACCCTGATATACCATCAGTAGGACCAGCTTGTTACATCATGAAACGTCATGTCAAAAATTACCCAAATTGACCCATAAAGGCAACCCTTACCTGTCCTTTAACAGCTTGACTATTCACCACAAACGTAAACATTTTTACTTCAAACCTCTTCAGGTGTGTAGGGAATGGGACAGAATTGTTGGGGACATCATGGAATATGGTCTGATGTGAATCTGCTGTATTCTCACAACTAGCGAATGAGATTAAAAAAATAATTTGATATATATTCATGTTGTATGTTTGTGTGTAATAGACAGACAGACAGACACATACAAAATATATAACTTATATATTGTTTCTCAAGAAAACTATAGCTATAAGATCCAGCCTGTGCCAAATTGGCATTAAAGACCAGAAAGTCCACTTAACTAGATTAAGTCATGGAATGCAATATTAGCGCAACTCCTATCAGTACAACTTCAGCCACAAAGAAAGCCTTTGCATCTGACTGATGAAGTAGAGAACTCATGCCGGATGATTTAAAATTAAGGCTCTAGAAGATACACCATCAAGCTCTATGGTATCTTGAGTTTTGAGCTTATGGCAAGAATTGCCAATGTGTTTTTCAGTTTTTAAATGACTGAATTATTGAACATAGAATAGCAGCAATTTCTGCAGCTGGTACAAAGTGTTATATTTTGTTCTATCTTGGAAAGTTTCTACAGATGTTTCATTCCCTAGCATAACCAAGCCGCTTTCTAGGCAGGCCTTGTCAAACTACCTTCAGCAACCACTCACAATGTTCAAATTTTCATATAAGTGGCAAACGACCTCTAGCCCACATTTAAAATTGGTACCTGTCAACCACTATGTGCCACTGTGGAAAACTGTTCCTGTCAGATTTTGCAGTAGCCCAGCAGTTCTCCAGAAACAACTCCAGTTGTGGATCTTGGCTGTGAAGAAGTTCTACCTGAAAGTAGAGAGGCTCTCGCAGGTAACGGCTTACTGGATACTCGGTGCGTTGATAGAAATCTTTGTAGGACTGGTCTGCAGAAAAGTCAGATGGGCAAAAGAAAAAAATATTAGGACCCCAGTATCCAAAATTAATGTATTCAATTTAAGAATCAATCTTCATCACCAGTCTAAACTAGGATTATGTATTCTACTCTGATCTGTTTATTAGCCCAAGAATTGTATTAGCACAATGCAAGAATACACTGATATTTTAAGCTTAGATCAGGCAACTGGAGTGGAGGCAAAGGCATCTCTAGAGTCAGAGCTATTGCTATCATTTGTGAGAAAACCAGGATCAGAATGATTTTATCATTGATTCAATTTCTATAAGTTGAATTCAGGAAAGAATGCTATCAAAATTGCTAAGAGTCTATTAATGTAATTAAACAGTAGGAACTGCAAAAATGTGTATTACCAGGCTGCTCGCTCTGTCCCCCGATTAAAGATTTTGTGATAGGACTGAAAAATGTTCTTCTACGACTCATGCTATGCCAGTTATGCCAATTAGATCAAAACTAATTATTTATTGTTAACCCAAAATACAGCCAAGAGATGTTCTTGGCTGCTGCCACATGCTTAGATTGGGAGGAAGAACAGACAAAAGAAACAATAAAACTGAACCCTGTTTTGCTGGATGACCTGATATGCTCCCTTCAACTGACAAATGTGACATGCTAAGTTAATTCAAGTTTAAACAGCCCAAGTTTCAGGACTCAAGTTCATAATTTCCTAACAATATAAAAATTCCCAGTGAAGCCAATAGAGCGGTGGAAGTTCATGAGTGCTCACTTAGACAGTTGAGACTCATCAAAAATGAATCCCACATAAAGCTAGAAATCCTGTAGGATCCAGTTTATTATAAATAAAGCTTACAATACTTAAAAATAGCTTTGGCGAGATATTCCATTCTTTTTAAAGTTGGATTTTTTAAAAGGTAAATACAAATGTTGTTTAAAAGTACAAATAACTGTTGCCTTCTTAAGTTGCATTCTTCCTCTCCATCCAGCAGGAAAATGTCCAACACAATCCCTGCCTTCAAATTAGTGCAAAATCCAAATTAGAAACTATTTCTCATGCTGGTGGCCGATACGACAAAATACAGTACCATAATTGAATTGATTACGGTCTTAGATATGTTGTAGGTGACCCCTCTGCTTTGAAATTACCTCTGGCCAGTTTAAGGGCAAGTTCCAGTTGCCCAGTCCCAGGCAGTATCGTTGGCGATGGTGCTCGTGCAGGGCTATACTGGAACAGCAGCGTATTTCCAATGAAGTACTGGCAAGCACATTTCAACCTTGAAAAGATAGAATTTGCCAGCAAAAGAGCCTTCGTTTATTCACCCAAGCTCACCAAGAGCTCTAAAATTTTAGCTTCTCTCTTTTCACATTTTTGAGAAGAAATTGATGCAACATAGGAAATTCAGAGAAGCTTTGGTTGGTTATATTGGAGACACATGTCTGCAGTCTCTCCAGATGGGCTCCAAATCACCCCATACTATTGTACCCTGTTTTTATCTCTTGATATTTTAGAATAAGGTAAAGGTTCCCCTCGCACATGTGTGCTAGTTATTCCCAACTCTAGGGGGCGGTGCTCATCTCCGTTTCAAAGCCGAAGAGCCAGTGCTGTCCGAAGACGTCTCCGTGGTCATGTGGCCAGCATGACTAAATGCCAAAGACGCACGGAACACTGTTACCTTCCCACCAAAGATGGTCCCTATTTTTTATACTTGCATTTTTTACGTGCTTTCGAACTGCTAGGTTGGCCGAAGCTGGGACAAGTAACGGGAGCTCACCCTGTTACACGGCACTAGGGATTCAAACCGCTGAACTACCGATCTTTCAATCGACAAGCTCAGCATCTTAGCCACTGAACCACCACATCCTCTTTTTTAGAATAGAAAAAAAAAGAATTGCTTTTTTAGAAAAGCAATTCTTCCTGAAGCAAAGGATTCTTCCTCCTAACAGTTCTTTAACTCAAATTCTCCCCAATCTGGGAATTCCAAGAACCGCCATCTCAGCACATTTGGAAACCACCCAAGGCAGGGCCAAGTTGGCTTCAAGCCCTTCAGCTCTCAAGTCACAAATACTCACTGGTAAACAGGTGTTGCTTGGCCTGGGAGGAAATACAGGACCTCATTTTCGTAAGTCATGATGGTCTTTTCAAACTGTAAAGAAGAATGGAATGAAACGTTCTGAATAGAAACTGGATCCCTGCCCTTCCTCCAAGTTGGTCAAAGGCCCATGTTGGACCTTTCCCTCTTCCCCTTTATCACCCCATGTGAAATAGGAAAGATCCAGTACCATAGTAAAAATATACTTCCTAGCTCTAGTTGTCACTTATAAAGCTGTTCATTACGAGCACAAATGTTGATGCTTGTCCTATTGGATGGATATAAACCTGTTTTCCCAGCCTGGCTTTCCCACACTGGGAGAAGGTCAGTAGATATATCCTATTCTACTTTACAGCATCCTTTCCAGACCCTCCAGAAGAGGGGGGAACCTTCCCCCAGTAATCTCTCACCTTGCGAGTTGTGCCACAAGAGTTTACACTGAAGAGGAAGTCTGCTCCTGCCTTTGTCACAGAAGCTGGTTTACACCGTTTGTCTCTCAGCACTAAGTTGGAGAGGTCCAAGTCTGGCATGCCAACCAACGTCCGAGCAGAGACTGCAATTGTGCCGTTAGGCTGGCAGTCTGCAAGAGACAGAGTTTATTCCAGGAAGTTCAGGAGGTAAGGATTCCTTCCTTGCTAACCCCAGTACCCCCACTCTCATCCCTCGCCTTGAGGAAGAGCCGCATCATTGATGCCACCATAGATGCCTCCAGACAATCAGCTCTTGGTGCTGATCATAGTTTTTCACAGCCAGATATAAGCAAACACTGCAGCAGTCATTCCATGTTAACTGGCACTCTTGTGTACCCATTCACTCCAACACCTTCATACCGGCCTTCCATTCCCAAAGAAATACGATTTTCACATTGTGATTGTTGAAGATAACAATTTACAGCATATATCACCATCTCCCTCAGTAATGGGCATCATTTTTACCATTTTCTCCCTCATTTATTAATTTCCCATCTTTCATAAAAGAGGTCAATGCCTTTTTTTAAAAAAAGCAACAAAAGGAAGCATGACAAGTATAACAAGGCTACACATTGAAGAGCAGGGAAGCAGACCTGCCAAAATCACTTGTCCTATAATTCCTGCATAGCCCACATCAGAGAGAGAAGGGGGAGGAAATTACAACAAGAGTGGAGATTATTAACAAGAGTGGAGTGCACTGCAGCCCTCTATGGAAGCCGCATTAACTTATTGATCCTTTTGTTAAAAAGATGAAGATGTTATGGAAGATTGTAGAATAGAATTGAGATTGTATCCCCATCTAAATATCTGCTGGGCATAACCATTCAATAGTAACAGTTCTCCCTCAGGTCACTGACTTCATCCTCAGTGCATGAGTGAGAAAGTATTTCTGTCCTTAGCTCTATCAGCATTAAATTAATATTTGTCCTTTATTCTCCCATGGTGGTTACTGTCGCTTGTGAACCCTGTTTCAAATGTGCTTTTATTTTTATCTGTAATGGGAGGGAGGGAGGGAGGGAGGGAAGGAAGGAAGGAAGGAAGGAAGGAAGGAAGGAAGGAAGGAAGGAAGGAAGGAAGGAAGGGTCAATTTGATGTAAGGTACTGGCCTTAGAAATCAAGTGATCATGAGTTTTTAGGCATGAAAGCTGACTGGATGACTTTGTATCAGTCATTCTCTCTCACCTACCTCCTAGGGTTTTTGTTCTGGAGAAAATAGGAGTATTTTCGTGGCCTTGAGTTTCTTATAAAGTAATAAAGGTGGATAAAAATCTAAGGAAGGAAAGACGTTTTGGAGAGAAGCTGGGTGACAGCAGAGACTTAAAACAGAGATGAGAGGCAGGATAGAGGTCACTAATGGGGAAAGTCAAATTCATGCCAGTATTTTCCCATAAACCATAAGGTGGAAAGGACTACCTCAGATAGGGAAAAACTGTGTGTGTGTTGCTAATGAAATATCAGTAAAATGATGGTGATTCCAAAACCTATTTTCAGTTCCAACCCACCTTAAATTTTAAACTGGCAAAAGGCCAAACTGTTTTCTTTGCACCTTAGAATACCTTCTCTGTGTTATATAAAGCTTCGTACAATATAGTTTTTCTACAATGTACTGGAGACAAAGGAGCCAAGAATCTGTGAGAAATAAAGTTTCTCCAACCCAAATCTAAATTACAGTTTTCTTGTGGAGAGGTAAGAAATAATTATGTGTGTGTGTGTGTACAAAATAACATGAATGATATGCCACTATACTGTATATATGAGTGCCTTCATAGTGAATTTATTAATCTAGATTGAAAGTGATATCTTGAAATCTGGTTGACTACTTCCCAAATGGATTTAATGTATCTGGAAGGATATCAGGATCAACATCCTTCAGACATTTAATCAGAAATATCACTTACCAATTAGATCTTTCGGAGAGAAGCTGCAGGAAATGGTAAATTCAATCATTTCTATTTGACTGAGATGGTCCTTAAATTGCAACTGGAAGGTGAACACAATCCCAAAGGAGTTTATTTCCTAGGACACAAAGAGAGTAGGTTTTCAAATGATAGAAGGGGGAAATGATTAAGCATCATATCACAAAGTACAATTTAATGTTAGGTTTTCAGGGTATTTTATTTAGGGTTTTCTCTCGGCTTGTGGTTCAAAGTTCAAATGCAGCTCTTAACCCCAGCAATTTATGCACCTTTGCAGAAAGCAAGGTCCTCTTTGGAAATAGCGTGACAATTACAGTAACACATCTAGATCATGGTGGAAGAGAAGGGACAGAACCTGTTCCTGAACCAAAGAGGGTTTTGATACTGGTTTCTAATAAAGAAGCAGGTTGCTTACTCTCAGAAGCAAAGGAAGTCAACTACAGGTTGTTTCTAGGAAGCAAGAATTGCCCCCCCCCCAAAAAAAGTATAAGTAATGTTCTCTACCCCCAAAGCAAGACTCTTATGTATGGCAAAGAATCCCCCTATTTCCTGCTATTCAGTGGTTCCCTGGACTTTTTGCAGTCCAGATACAGTACGATGTGTGGCGATTTTCTCGCTTTGTGTTCTTTCACAGAGAGGTAGGAGGAGGGAGAAGGGGAAGTGAGTGAGTAGCACCGATTGTGGGGAAACCATGAACAATTTCCAAGGTTAGCTGCCACAGTACTGGTGAGGCAACAGCTGACTCAGGAACATCAGGAGAAAAGATAATAGCAGCCAAAGTGGCAAGTGGGGGGATCCCTTACTTGCTTACTCTTCTGTTTTATTCTGGGCTAGTCTTCCATCATGGCTCATCCTTGGGCTGGAGACATCCAGATGATCACAGGATGGCAGTGCCGAGACATTGAAAACTTACTTTTTGCTGCCTTTAACGCCATAGCAGTAGCACTTAGACTTCTATACCGCTTTACAGTGCTTTACAGCACTCTCTAAATGGTTTACAGAATTGGCATATTGCCCACAACAATCTGGGTCCTCATTTTACCCACCTCGGAAGGATGGAAGGCTGAGTCTACCTTGAGCCTGGTGAGATTTGAACTGTCAAATTGCAGGCAGCCAGCAGTCGGCAGAAGTAGCCTGCAGTACTGCACTCTAACGACTGCGCCACTGTGGCCATCCACATGTTTGTCACGTAGATAGTTGGAGCTGAAGGCAGCAAGGGGGAATTCAATGCATACTGTGCCTGCAGATCCTGGGAGGCTTTTTCACAATATTTACCCATGGTTCCCACTCCATCCCAAAAGGGACCCCTTCACATTCTTAAATAGAATGCTGCCCAGACCAAGATTTGTCATACCTCAAGGAACACGTGAGTGGCGAGCTTTGGCACTCTCAGGACCAGATGAGTTTGATTGACCTGCAATCCATATTGAAGGGTCTGTGCAGTCTCTTGAGTTAGGGGTGTGTTTCCTACAAAGGGCAACCAATTCTGGTCCACGTTGCCACGTTTCACCACTAAATAGAGGGCTTCGTTATCACAGAATCCTTCTGCATGGGGCAGCACTGGAGAGAAGATGAAACAAGAAGGGTGCCTGTCCTTTTACTTTCCCATTCACTGCGCATTTCCACAAGCATTTCCCATTAACATTTCTGACAGCTTAATTTCACAGAATGGCATGAGCAACTACCGTGTTTTCCCGAAAAGAAGATCCTGTCTTATATTTTTTTGAACCCTGAAATAAGCGCTTGGCCTTATTGCCATGCGCTCAAAAGCCCAATTGGGCTTATTATCAGGGGACGTCTTATTTTGGGGAAAACAGGGTACTTGATAATTCTTCATGCAAATGACTAGCTACATCATAGTGCCACTGTTTAACTGCCTTATTAAAAAGTATTAAGATATCAATGAAAGGCTATAATTGTTTCTAACAACTTTAGACTAACATCTTCTGGATCAATAGAATATAGAATAATAGAGTTGGAAGGGACCTTGGAGATGGTCTAGTCCAACCCTCTGCTTAAGCAGGAGACCCTAGACCATTTCAGACATGCAGACAAAAGACTTTATTTTCAATTCACTAGTTTATCTTCTTAGTTGCAGTGGAAATGTCTACTACCCGAGGATCTATCTTCCAGATTCTATCCATATTATTTCTGGTATCCATAATGGAAAGAGGCAGGAAATATTAGCTCCAATCAACTCACCTGCATCCCTCACCAAGGCAGAAAGAGGGACTGGGACTTCAAAGACTTCTGCCTGAGGAATCACAGTGAACTGCAGTACAGGATTGGTAGTATAATTTCGAAAGTGTTCTGGCACATACTGGGAAAAGTTAAAATGGAAGGCATTAATTTCTACATTATCACTAACAGTGTAACTATTAAAAAGAAAGCTGAGCTTAGTATTGGTTACATGCAATCTATTCAGATGGATGAAATTTATGGATTACAAAATACGTCCTTTTCTGTAAAATCTACACAATATCTAACAATTTACATAGATAAATGGACTGCCTCAGATGGTTGCAAACCCTTTAGAGCAGCCTTATCCAGCCAAGCAACCTCTAGATATCTGGACTTCAGATCTTACAATTTCCTAGCCAGCATGACCATCACTAAGAATTCTGGGAGCTGAGGACCACATATTTGGAGAAAACCAAGATCGTGGAAGTCTTGATTTTGACTCCATCTTGGAAAACTTAAATTGCAAAACTTGTTTACATGTGTAGCATATTGAAACACTGTCATACCCCTACCCCAGATACCTTATAACTTGAATCTTGGCTCCCTCTTTTATACAACTTGATAAAAGGTGTCCATGCATTCTAAGCCTACCTCATCAATTATTTCTCTGCAAATACAATTATCTAACACCCAGTTTTACCCAGCCTTTGACCAACCATGTTCCATTTTGCTCTGGGGAGGGAGGGGAAAGACATTCAACTTGCCTAAAATTCTTCTGAAAACTAAGAGAGGCTAATCCATCCCCAGGTTAGAAATTTCCAGGAATTCTCAGGAATGGGTGGTCCAAATAAATATTGGTACTCAAAGAGAATATCATTTCATGGAGTTAGTGACCTCCGCTCCAATATAGAAGGGAGAATCTGAAGTAGCACCTGTGTGCTAATTATAGGCATGCAGAATGAAACACAGTATCTGGAAAAATAAAACGTTTTAATTCATTTCACATAATTCATTTTTTGTTGAATTATTATATTGGGGTTAAAAGGAACATCAGTAGTTTTGTTGTGTTTTGCTGCTAATAGAACAGAACAGAACAGAACAGAACAGAACAGAACAAACAGAGTTGGAAGGGACCTTGGAGGTCTTCTAATCCAAACCCCTGCTTAGGCAGGAAACTCTGTACCATTTCAGACAAATGGTTATCCAACCTCTTTTTAAAAACTTCCAGTGTTGGAGCATTCACAACTTCTGGAGGCAAGTCATTCTACTGATTAATTGTTCTAAATGTCATAAAACTTCTCCTTAGTTCTAGGTTGCTTCTCTCCTTGATTAGTTTCCACCCATTGCTTTTTGTCCTGCCTTCAGGTGCTTTGGAGAATAGCTTGACTCCCTCTTCTTTGTGGCAGCCCCTGAGATATTGGAAACCTGCTATCATGTCTCCCCAGTCCTTCTTTTCATTAAACTAGACATACAGAGTTTGTCTAGTGTTTAATGATTGTCTAATGATAAGACATTCCACAGCGACACCTGCAGACAAGGCCTACATTGATAGCTATTCATACCTCCTTTTCAACTCCAGGACTATCAAATGAGATCTGCACAAGGTAATCTTTGCTGCCATTGGGGTGTTTGATTTCAATGATCTTACAGCCCCATTTCTCAGCCTCAGGCAATGGCAAGGGCCCCGAATGACCCACTGTCACACCAACCAGGTCTACATCTGGCAAGAAGGAGCCAACCGTTGCATTGAAGAGCTTGAGATTTATCTTTGTATCTGCAGGGGGAAGAAAACCACTTGAAGGAAAAGTCTGTTTTGGGCTTGATGTTCTCTCTTATCTTTTCCTCCAGCTGCTTTGTGAATGAGCCCCTTTGGCTGATTCTAAGATTCGAATAGCCAATATGATGCCCACTGGCATCAGTGTACTCACGGAGATACCTCCTGATGCCCCCCCAGACTCTCCTACCCTATTTATTGGGGATGGCATTGAATGAACTTTTAAATAAATCAGTTGGAAAGTTGGCATGATGGCAAAGCAAAGCATCATCAGCCAGTGTGGTCTTTATCAGTAATGGGCAGGAAATAGGGTTGGGATCCACTGGAAACATCTTCAAAGGTTTAGGAGTACCCCTTGTCCAGAGGCAGCAATTTGTTACGTTCCTATTGAGACCTTTTTTTAAAAAGCTAGGATAATAGGAATGAGGTAGTGTACATCAGGAAAGAACAATTCACAGGTCGCTACACAATACCCATTTTCTGGGTCTCAGGTCAACCCTTACTGTCAAAAGTGGTGCATTTTCTCTTCCTTTGCCATCTGTTGCCACCCCTGCAAAAGGCTGCAAATAGATATGCTAAGCCTCAGTGAAGCTGACTTTTTGAGTTCAGATTTTTCCTCCCTCTCTCTTTCTCTCTGCGTGTATGTGTATACACACACACACACCAGTGGCGGAGGTAGGAGGCTCTGCCCACCTGCCCAGACGTCATCATAGATGCTTTAAGCATGTGCAGAAGGTTCTGCACATCCGCAGAAGCGCCATGCGCGAGGAGAGCAAGCGCATGCATGCACATGCTCCCGGTTCTGAATCAGTAGTGAAGGTAAGCAGAACCCACTACTGACACACACATACATACCACATTGCACATTCCTCGCTCTATATATGCACACAACACATCAAGAATGGTTCAGCCAGATTTGTAGAGGGACCCTGGACAAGATGTCCTAGATTCCACCACTCCCTCTAAGAAAACCCTATTGCTTTCTGTCTGTTAAGAAGTCCAGAACCCCCCTTTGTTGTCTTCTGACCCATGCTTTATAAGAGGTCTTCAAACTTGGCAGCTTTAAGACTTGTGGACTTCAACTCCCAGAATTCTCCAGCCAGCTATGCTTGTTGAAGTCCACAAGTCTTAAAGCTGCCAAGTTTGAAGACCTCTGCTTTATAAATTAATCAAAAGACCATTCTTTTCTCTCCCATTCCTCCACTCCTTGTTATTGAGGGATAAAGATGGCAGCAACATGTCACAACATGTTGTTTTTTTTTAATGTCTAACTGAGCTCCAGCACTTAAGGAAATGAAGATGGTTGGGTGTGGTTGCCTAAAGCTGTGCTCTGCAGTAATATAAAATCCCCTTCAAGCAACTCCTGATGACTTCATGGACACACCCATGCAGTTTTCTTGACAACGCTGCAATAAAAAGTTGTTTGCCACTGCCTTCTTCAGAGATATTTTTACAGCAGCTTTTATATTCTCTGAACTTATCCCTCTGAGTAACCAGCTTGTGGTAAACTAAAGAGTACTCAGATGAAACAATATTAGGAATGATAGACAATGGGTCCTCTTAAATGACCATCTAAATGTTAGATCATTATTCTACAAAAGTCAAATTAAAAGTCAGCTCTCGTAAAACTCAAGCGTGCCCACATATCTAGGTGGCTTGCCAACCACTAGGGGGCAATAGAGAACATTCCACGACTAGAAGACTTTATAGAAAATAGCAGGTTCTTCAGGAGACCATAGAAGAGGCATCTTTCTACTGTCCTGTATCAATTCCTTATAAAAACAACAACAACTCACAGTCTGTAATCCTGATGGGTGCAAGCTGCAAAGGTGTGCTGATCTTCTTCAGTATAAGATGCTTCGTAATACCTCTTTTGTCATCTTCCCACAAATGTTCCACAAAGATGTTGATTTTGTAGGTGATCATCAATTTTCTATCAACCACGTGACTCTGGAAGACAAGAACAACTGGTAATCATTGCTTTAGGCCCGGGGGGTCAAATTCACGCGTCACGTTGCTGTCACGTGACGTTTCGTGATGTTTTTCCCATTTGCGGAGTTGGGGTGGGCATGGCCCACCGGCCGCCAGTTTGACACCCTTGGCTTAAGTGGTCATATATAAAGACAAACTGTGTACTAAAAATGGGCAGCCCCCTTAAAATCCAGTTTGCTCTTTTCTTGATGTTGCCATCAATCGGACATTTCAATGCACCGTCCCATTCAGAAGCAGAAGCTAAACTGTGGTCAACCATTTGTTTTTCTTTCCCCCCCACTTCAAATAATGTATCTTGATAGATCAAAAATGTGCAAAATGTGGCTCTTTGGATGGTGTTAAAACTACACCATCACCTGTCAGCAATGGCCATGTTGTCTAGGGCTTGTGACAGTAGGAATCTACCAGCCCCTCTCGGAGGGAGATGGGCAATTCATGTCTAAAACTGTGAAAAATAAATGAACACCTGGAAAGCGTCCTTATTTATGCTAGACTAGGGTTCAGCAGCTTGGGTCCTTAAGAGGTTGATATGGCACCCAAATATTTTTTCACAGCCTCTAAAGAAAAAGGTGCTTTCCACTTTATTGTGAGTTAGGAAAAAGATGAGCTATATATCACAATGGGCTTAGCACAATAAAAATGAAAAGAAAATTTAAAAACTCGCACCAGAACACCTGACTCATCAGAATATACAACAAGCACATTTTGTAATGCACCATCACATACAGTAGCTTTTAATATCCAAAAAGTTTCCCATGCCTACCTTGTAGTTACCACCCAGTGCACCAATGGGTATCTTTACTATAATGGCATCCTTGTTACTGGCCAGCATATAACCTCGGCTTTTTATATCCTGGGTTGACAGTTTGTATAAGTCGACACCCATCTCTACGTGCAATTCTTTTATTGTAGCAGTTCCAATTAGAAGAGAAACGTGCTTTGGGATAGTCCAAGTGATTGTTTCTTCGGTGTAGGTTATACCATCTAGGGAGTAATAGAGTAGAAGAGAAAAAGATAGTACAAGGCTATAAGAAGGGAAACCTAAGCCTTCAGAGATTAGGTCAGGGATCCATAGCCTGGAGATCATTACTCTGTTTTTACCCACCTATAGGGCAGGCCATGGCAGCGTCGACCATGAAGAGCAGGAAACGCTCCTTGTAGTAGGTACTGGATCTCACAGAAGAAAAAGGGATTCCACTGATCTGAAATAGGAGCAAGAAGTTTCCAACTTTTTACTTTGCCCAAGTGTCAAATTGCCAGTTCTTCAGGACACGGAATAAAATATATCTCTATATATGAATCACATTTGATGACATTACATTTTTTTAAAAGAGCAAGTATCTCTGGGCCATAGACAGATAGGTGGGTGGGGGATTAGGAATATCACCAAATTCTTTAGACTGAAGGCACCATTCCCATGTTCCTATCCATACTAATGGAGAAGGGTAGAAATGAACATGAAATGAAATGAAATGAAATGTGGATTTACAGGTGGTTTGTTTATTTATTTATTTATTTATTTATTTATTTATTTATTTGTCGCATTTCTATGCCACCCAACTCCCTAGGGACTCTGGGCGGCTTACAGCAAAAAAAAATATAAGTTATGTTATATTGTATGTAACATATATATGTATATGTTACATATAAGACCAAATCAGAAAGAAGGAGGTGATAAACCGCCTGGGAAAGCCAAGGGAAATAATCAAAACCATAAAAAGGCGAAAGAATATTTTGGATATGTGATGCGGCACCCGGAAAAATACAGCATCCTTCACTTAATCCTCCAGAGAAAAACTGAAGGCAAACGAGGTCCAGGCAGAAAAAGAACATCATGGCTTCAAAATCTAAGGGACTGATTTGGACAAAACTCAGCAGCACTTTTTCGTGCGGCTGTTGATAAAAATAGGATCGCCAACATGGATCTCCAACATCCGATGATGGATATGGCAGAAGAAGAAGAAATGAACACCTATTCCCACAAGCTACGGTTATTTTAGCTAAACAACATTACTGAATGCATGGATTCTGGTCACTGCCTTCTCTCCTGCGTCTTCATATGTTCTGAAAATTAAAGTGAGCTCACTTCCACTTTCTGAGCTTGAGATGCATTGTAGGGCGCTCTCAACACGATCCTGGTCTCTGTCATTTTAATCCCATAACCGGCAGCTTGAGCTTCTTCAACCATCATTGAGCTCTTCTCAGAGCCCATGTGAAAGACTATTTGCCAAATGGAAGGAGTTCCAGTTTTGACCTAAAATGTGGGAGCAGAAAGCAAGAAAACGAAGCATTTTAAGAGTTATATAACTGCCCGCATGGAAATTATGCTATCTGGGCTCCATTTGGATCAGGGAGAAGACAGAGAAATACCTCTGAGAAAGCAGATGCCCAGTCTTCAGGCTGATCTTGAAGAAAACCATCTGAGATTGAGGGAACATTTCTTCTCACTGAGACCTGGAGGGGAAACAAGAGACCATATAGTTGGGAGATACTTCAAGGCATTTAAGAGGTTTGAGAGCATAAACGTCTATCATTCCAGCCCATTGCTTCCAGTTCTTAATTCAGCCTGGATGTTTTTACAGTCATTGAGGCAGAGGTGGGGAACTATGGCAGGGGTGAAATTCAAAAATTTTCCCTACCTGTGGGTGTGGCAGGGGAAGGATACTGCAAAATCTCCATTCTGCCTCTCCCAACTCCTGGGAGAAGGATATTGCAAAATCTCCATTTCCACCCCACTCTGGGGCCAGCCAGAGGTGGTATTTGCCAGTTCTCGAACTAATCAAAATTTCCGCTAGCGGTTCTCCAGAACCTGTTCGAACCTGCTGAATTTCACTCCTGAAATATGGCCCCTTTATGACTTGTGGACTTCAACTCCTAGAATTCCTGAACCATCATGGTCACAAGTCACAATAGGGCCGTAATTTCCCACCCCTGCATTAAGCTATAACCTTCTCAATAACTACAATCTGTTTCTTGTTTTCATGCTAGTCAAGAAAGGCCACGCTCTGATCTCCAGCTTTACCATCTTGGGGACTCCCTATCTTGGCTTGATTTGTGATGGAAAACAGCATAGTCCAGACACGCATTAAATGGAAGTCACTTTCCTTAATCAGTAGGTCCAAGAATGGGTAATACATGTTCTATTTGCTAAGGTAGTTGAACACCTTCTGCTTCTGCAGCCTAGTGAGGCAGGAGCGACAAGTATTCACTGAGCTAGGAAGATTAGAGTTTAGAAGTGGATTAATCTAGATCACCACTGGCAGCTCACTACAACTTCCTGCTTAAGGCAACGCTCCTTGCAGAAATCAGAAGTATGTGTTGTATTATCAGAAGCTTAGAAGGTCATATAAAGCAAATGTGTCCTGCAGTACATTGGGAAAGTCCTGAGATGAAGTACAGGCTTGTCTCACTGCAGAATGGTTAGTTGCTACACCGACACCATGCAATTGGGAGAGGAGCACTTTAGGTTGGCGAGAGGCCACCTTCCTCATATTTGTAATCCTGAGAGGCCAGTTGATATCTTTGGGATGTTGATCCATGCTTCCTGGGCCATGCTTTGCAGATGAGGCACGATGCATTAAATTGTAAGCAGGGTATGACAGACAGCCTTATTTTATGTCCATGCTATAAATTAAGCGTTCTCCCTTCTACTCTATCAAAGAGGCTAGTCTGTTCTAACAATGTATGTGTGCTTCCCTGACTTCAGCTGAGTTTTCCATCATGGATCAGTGGAAAATTGAGGACAGATCGTTGTCTTTACTTCTACTTGCTTAAATTCTCAGACCGATAGGTGTGGTATATTCATTTACCGGTATTTAGGCTATGACATATCACTACAATATATTAACATTTCACTTAATTAGTAAAACACAATAAAATAGAAATGTTAAAAAGATCTATGTTCAAATGCCAAAAGTCTAAGCCAGAGATCTTCAAACTTGGCAGCTTTAAGACTTGTGGACTTCAACTCCCAGAATTCTCCAGCCAGCATAGCATAGCTGGCTGGAGAATTCTGGGAGTTGAAGTCCACAAGTCTTAAAACTGCCAAGTTTGAAGACCCCTGGTCTAAGCCATCCTGCCAGTGATTTTGTTTATACTAACAAAATCAGATACTGGACAGGTGTAATATTGTGTGTGGTGTATAATATGGCTCTTTATATGGTATAACATGGCTTTTTATATGTGTTACTTCAACTGTTCAATTTCAAACTTACCTCCAGGCACATTCAAGGTTATCTGAAAACAGAACCAGCCTTACTATGTTAAAAAAAAAAAGGAACCACCTTGTGCAGAAAATTCTGGGCCCAGCTCTGTATTATTCTTCCCCCAGTCCCTAGACTGGACTGACCCATCGTTCTGGAGTTAGGTAGTTGGGTCCTTTCTGCAGGAGGAGGATTTCTTCCAGCATTGCCCTTGAAACCAGATTCAGCTGCCAATCCAACTGGATCCAATGACTGGCATGATCACACAAGAGGCTAATAATGTTCACTCAAATAGACTATCCCAATACCAAAAATATTCCATGGTCTCACATTCACATGACAGAAATCCAGCCACTGCCTTAGTCTATCATCCGTTGAACTACTCATCAATCTCATCTTAGTGAGTCAAATCCAGTGGCTATACAGGTAGTCCTCGACTTATGACCACAACTGAGGCCAAACTTTCTGTTGCTGAGACATTTGTTAAATGAGTTTTGCCCAATTTCACCACCTTTCTTACCACCTTTTTTATGATCTTTGTTAAGTGAGTACTGCAGTTGTTAAGCTAGTCACATGATTGTTAAGTGAATCTGGCTTCCCTATTGACTTTGCTTGTCAGGTGGTCGCAAAAAGTGATCACATGACCCCGAGGGACTGCAACCGTCATAAATAGGAGTCAGTTGCCAAGCATCTGAATTTTGGTCATGTGACCATGGAGATGCTGCAATGGTCATGTGAAAAACGGTGACGTCACTTTTCCAGTGTCGTTGTAACTTTGAACGGTCACTAAATGAAGTGTCATAAGTCGAGAAGCACCTGTAGTGGAAAGCTGGGTGTGCTTATGTTATCTCAGGCAACCGAACAGAAGAGCACACAGCCCTGCTTATGGGTATCGGGAGTACTTGTCAAAATGCTAGGATGACTGAAAGCAGAGACTGGCTAGATATTCACGTCCTGATCCTTCCCCAAGTTGCCTCTCCCAAATTGACACAATTCAACATCTAGCCTTAATACAGAATTATACTTGCAAAATGTGACTTTCTCTGGCAGAGGATTAGGACTTCTTGGCTACAGATTCTGCAATTGGTATCCATAAAAGAGAACATACAGTTCCAGTATTAATCTCTTTTCAAATGATTCGCCTTACAGGCTTTAACCTGGTGATACTAAACAAAAAACAAAAAACCCTAAAGGAGAATCTAAGAGCCCGTACAGATTAAAGTGCCAACTGCATTCTACTTCCATTACTTCTATATAACATACACAGAACCAGAGCTATTCAATTGCAGTTCAGCTGTCCACCGTCACGATGTACCCGAGACCTCCAGGCAACACGTCCATAGGAAAATTGAACAACAATCACAATTTTGATTGTGCAGCACTATCAGTGTTGAGGGTTGCTTGACCGTTCTCCAAACTTACCTCCATGTAGTTTGTCTCACAGACGATTTCCCTGGGCTGCCATGGGCCATACGAGCAACTCACAGGGACATTAAGCAAAGTTGCAGTGTGCATCTCTGGGTTTGTTGCTGCCTGGATTTGTATGGTTAGTGTGAACTGCTGATCATCCTGAATAAAAGGTTGCAGAAAGAAGAAAACAATAATTAACAGCAAGGTCTTTGGACGTGCATATAGAAATGACGCCTCCAAGCTATTAAATTGTGCTAGTTTAAGTACTTAAGGTACAACATTGCTAGTGAGGCGTACTGTATAGGAAAAGGACATCTTCAGAACTGCTGGAACAGGATTACAATTTCCACATCAACATCACAAGCAGGAAGTTAACAGTGTTGCAGAACAAATTACAAGCTTCATAGAGACAGGAATCCTATACCATTCCAGATGATGGCAACTCACAATTATATAGTAGGACTGCATGTAGCCTAAGAAGATAAGTAGTGATAAGTAGTATCATGACCTTGCCTACCCCTAGGTTAGTGTTTGGTTTTCCCAGTTGCAATGTATGGTTGTAAAAGTTGAACCATAAGGAAGACTGAGCATCAAAGAATTGAAGCTTTTGAACTATGGTGCTGGAGGAGACTCCTGCGAGTCCCTTGGACTGCAAGGCAATCAAACCAGTCAGTCCTAGAGGAGATCAACCCTGATTGCTCTTTAGAAGGCCAGATCCTGAAGATGAAATACTTTGGCCATTTAATGAGACAGAAAGATTCACTGGAGAAGAGGCTAATGCTGGCAACAATTGAGGGCAAAAGAAGAAGGGGACTGCAGAGAATGAGGTGGCTGGATGGAGTCACTGAAGCAGTTGGCGTGAGCTTAAATGGTCTCCGGGGGATGGTAGAGGACAGGAAGGCCTGGAGGAAAGTTGTCCATGGGGTCACAATGGGTCGGACACGACTTCGCAACTACCAACAAATACATCTTCCAACCTGGGAGCAGCATTCTGCATTTTTTTCCCCAGGATCCCTCAGATTTTTGTAGATTCAAGTTAAACATCTTAACCGTGGGTATAATGAGGAAAATCTTTGAACACCTCACAGCAGGGGTGTCAAACTGGTGGCCCGCAGGCAGGATGCCTTTTGCACAGGCCACACCCACCCCAACTCCACGAATGGGAAAAATGTAGTGAAATGTCACGTGACAGCAACATGACGTGGTGAGTTTGACAAGAGTTTGACAATCTTATTGTCATAAGATTGGCTTATGACAATATAAAAGCATAGTTTTTTTTTCTTTGATCACACCCATTTCCTTTCTTGCTCCATCCTTATAGTCCCCTCAACACCCTACCTGCAGCCTTTGCCCAAAAGAAGATTAACAAATCATCGTTTCAGAATTGAGACATTAATATAGAATTCTAGAGCCTGGTTTACAGCCAGTCCACCATTTTACACCTCTCCTGCCTACCACTATCTGAGTGTAGCAGCCAATCAGGGAGGCCCGGAACTCAATGTTCCCCCAAGCGTCCTGGAAAATGGTATAGCCACATTTCATAGCCTGGACCTCATCAATCGACCAAGCTCTGCCAAACCGATCTGAAAGAACAAATATATTGGTTATTTAGAAACAGGAAAACTGCATTTCTAAGCACGGTTATCACCACCATATTGTTGCCAAGCTTGATCTTGCATAAAAAATAAGCGGCACAGGCCTTCTTTTCACTTAAGCCAGATCCAGATTTGCAAATGTTTGGGAAAAGTCATTTCTTCCCTTGTGTAAAAGATGGAGACCTTGAGTAGAGAAAATATGCATCAGAATTATAGGGACCATCATTGGCAGGGAAGACAGCATACCAAAGAGATGTCTACAATATTAAATGGCTGCTAAAATAGCTTTTGCCTCAAAAATCAATTGATATTAATAGTTCTAATGGTGTTTTTTTTAATCTGATGGTGGTGGGGAGATGTAGAGGAATTACAACAAACAGAAACCATTAAGTATATTCCTTCAATGTACAAGTGGAGGACATAGGTGGGAGTTTCAGACAGCCTCCCATCCAGGCAGTAAACAGACCCAAATATGTGATTTCCAAATGGAATGAAGGGAGGTTAATGTAGGAAGACAAATTGAAGCTATAGCACAAGTTATTGTCATTTTCCTAGAACCTAGAGTTAACCACTCGAGAGAAAGCCACACAGTTCTTTGGATTCACTTCCTGAAAGATGTTGCAGAGTGAACACTGCATCTGTTTGCAACATTTGAAGGCAGCTGCCAGACAATCCTGGGAGTAGACCCAGCTGCTTTAAGATGCTGCAGGCAAGATGTTCCATGAAGGCTCCTGCGGTGCATTTTAAAACATTCTCTGGAGATTGAATCTGATGCACTGCACCGCTTTACTAAATAGCATTACTTCATCCTTGCATCATCAGATGGGATACCATATTAAAAGACAAAGATCAGATTGAAGAATTCCTAACAATTCACAATAAAAGACAGAGGAGGATCAAAACTCACCCAGGGCAGCAAAACCGACATACTTGTTCTGGAAATAACTCGGATTCAACTTGAGTTTTGCAAGGCTACCTAGACATTCCACTTCCACCTGATCTGAACCGCAAAGAGGAAGAATATTTTATTAGATGTTAATCTCATCTTTCATTCAGGAACACAAGGTGGTGTATCTAGTCCTTCCTTTGCCTATTTCTCCCAACAATCACCCTGTAAGGGATGTTGCAAGCTGACTGGATTTGTTTTAGCATAGGAACAAAGTTTCCAAAAGGATCAGGTCACGATCCCTCCACCGGGCTAGGCAACTGCTCAGAATATCTGAAATTCCTGACATGATCCAATTGATAACTAGAGAAGCCTGCACCAATTCACCAGCTTCTCCAGACATTTTACACTCCAATTCCTTTCTTTCCAGCCAGAGACTAAAGGCCTAAAAGATAATCCAAATAACTAAAGCATGTTAAGCTGGGGAAGGCTGCAATAAAGAACACCAAACCAGCTCACTCTGTGCATAACCTGTATGAATTATGAATATGGTATGGAAGAGCTTGGAAGAATTTAACGAGAGAGCTTTGCCCAAGTCTGAGTCCCAAGATGCTTTTCCAATGGAGCAATAGCCAGAAGTATAATATCTGTTGCTATCTCTAACTGAGCCTACAGAACTCATCTTTCTTATTAACCGTTCTAATAAGGAATAATGGAAGAAATTATTAGTCAAAGTATCTAGAACAGAGGTGTTAAACTCAAGGCCCGGGGGCCGGATCTGGCCTGCGGGGTGCTTAGATCTGGCCCGTGGAGCCGCCCTGGAAACAGTGAAGGAGTGGCCCACAGTGCCTCTGCCAGTGAAAACGAAACTCCGTTTTTGCTGGCAGAGGGTTGCAGGAGGCTGTCGCAGCTGAAAATGGAGCTCGTGAGGGACATGTGCAGCTTTCCCGAGCTCCATTTTTGCTGGCAGAGGGTTGCAGGAGGCCATTGCAGCCGAAAACGGAACTCGGGAGCCCGTTTTCACTGCCAGAGCATTTGGGCCATTACAGGCGCCCCTGACATGAGTGATATCAAGCTAGCTATGCCACCCTGGCCATGTCCATTCCGCTGCCCCTGCCCCCCTGAGGTCAAACACAACTCTGATGTGGCCCTCAATTCAATTGAGTTTAACACCCCTGTTCTAGAAGGTACCAATTTCTTTCCTTAGTAAGTTGCACCTTGGGAATGAGCAAGACAGAATCTCTTCCCGATTTGTGTGCTTAGTCAAAGTGAGGACTAGGCTGCCTTCTATTTCTTTAAAAGGAAGAAAAGTGGGTGAGGGACACCTGTGACTCTACATCAGAGGGGTCAAACTTGTGTCGTCACGGCAGCGTTATGCCTTTTGTATCGTGACTTTTTTCCCCTTCGCTAAACTGGGCATGGCCATGGCCAGCAAATGATGCATCCGGTTTGTGGGCCGTGAGTTTGACAGCCCTGTTCTACACCATTGAGATGTCCTTCTCCAGAGGCAGTCAAAGCCATACCAAGATCTTACAAAGCAGTTTGTTTTGCATTTGCGGAGCCTCCTGCTTACCTGTTAGAGAAACAAACTGGAGCCACGTACTGGGGACCAGAACAACGAGGAGAAACAGTCTGAAAGAGATATTACGGTACAGGTCACATTTTATACAGGCAACTCAATCACAGGGGGCACCCTCCTCACTCTTCCCAGGCTGATTGGTATGCTTGATAAGATGCTGACTAGCTGCAGCATAACCTGAGATTCCAGGATCCAGCGCAGCTGAAATCCAAAACCCATTTCAGGGTCTTCCCCCGCAGGAAGAGCAGCTGCTCAGTAGCTTTCATTCAGTTCCATTCTCAAAGAAAATCCATTGCCAGAATAAGTTAACACCCAGACTCAATCTTTCCATTAAGCCAAAACCCATAAGGCACAGTAGAGATGATGGGTTTATGTACCACTTTGACAAATATCAAATAAATCACATCTTGGTTTTTGTTGGCAAACCCAGAGAGACCATAATACATCCAGTCTGAGTTCATATCTTAGAATACCACCATATTTAGTCATATGGTGCCATTGGCTGGGTTCACAAAGTGCTTGGTTTACAACCCACAATGGATTGATTGACCCATCATATCCAGCCAAATCAAATAAAATCACAGGATGCAATAAGTTACCCCCATGCTCACAAATTTTGGGTTAGAAATGGACTCAGGTAGAACTATACTTTATAACTATAGTTAATTATTTAACTATACACACTAAGCTATCTGCTATGGTTTGCAACTAATAGATGATTAAGCCAAAATAAAAAAACAAATCACATTACAATTTAGCATAAGAAGCTACGTGGTTTTTAGAATATAGTGATAAAATCTAGGGAAAGCTAGCCCTCTATTGTGTCAAATATTTGGGTTCACATATCGCATTAAGCTATTATATTGATAAGTTTTGTAAACTGTGTGAACCCAACCAGTTGTTACTTATCTAATAAACCACAGTTAAGTAAAATGCAGCTTAATATGACCCACAATCCCAAATAGAAAGCTTATTTTAAGTAAGATAAAATTTTTCCAACTTTTTCCACCATCCCCCTAAGCTCACCTTATTGCAAGATATGAAACCATTCTGCTGGAACATGAGAAGGACAAAACTACCAAGCTAAAAGTTCTCTTCCGTAGGATCACTCAGACTTTCCCCATCAGTACAAAAGCAATTTCAGAAGAGAACATTAGGGAGGAGAGCTTGCAGCTGCCTTTTAACCAGCTCTGCCCCACGCTATCCCAGGTGTCTGCAGTTATCTCCCGCCAGTTTACCTCTTTCCCTTACTCCTTAATTGGATTCATCAGAGGAAGATGTCGCTCTTATGGGGAGCTGTTGGGTTGCAAACCTCTGGATTAACGCTGGATGGCAAGGAATCGAAACAATCCTCTTCCTCATTGCTGCCCTCTGGTGGATTTTCGGAATTATGCAGTCTGGATCAACATCTCAGGTCCGAAGGGACCTCGAGCTGCAATCCTAAATGCGCCTTCCTGGATGTTAACTTCATCATAGAATTTACTATCAGGTAAACGTAGGGAGACTCCAGCGGGCCACAGAAGGTATTCTTTCATTTAAGATACTACTGTAGTAGTCTTATTGCTGCATAGGACTGACAATGCAAAGGAAAGTGACTGCTTTAAATTAAAGCACTTTGCTGTCCCTCCAAAAGATGGCAGGCACGGGCTGGCTTGACTTGACTTTCTTCAGTCTTGACCTGAGCCGGGGAACCAGATTGAATATGTCCTTCCCATATGGTCTAGCGGTGAGGATTCCTGGTTTTCACCCAGGCGGCCCGGGTTCGACTCCCGGTATGGGAAAGATTACTTTTGCAACAACGTTTTCGGTCTTTTTGCTAAGTTGGAGGATATTAATTTTAAATTAGCTCACGAGAAATTTTTTTGTTAGGTTCTGTGCTTTTGTAAATCCTGCCCTAGGTATTTGAAAAACGCTTGCCATAGTGCTATTTATCCATAAATTCCATTTTCTTGTGTACTCTTATTTATATTTTTACATACCACCCCTTCAATTCAAGGGTCTTTTACAATATTTAAGAAAGGCAATACTGCATAAGAAAATATTGTTTAATGCAACGTTCATAAAATACAACCAACCTAGAGTAAGATTACTTGACATTCTGAAGATTTTACAGTGCAAATTAGAAAGTAAGATGAGCATGTTATATGCCTTATATAAAGCCCATTTTGAATGAAGAAGCTGATGGACTACTGACATTGTTAAACTATGATTCCCAACATCCCTTGCTGGTGTCCATTCTAGGGAAAGCTCTCTAGGGAAATATACTGTAGCCCACTCCAGTTCCAGGTGTTTTTAGTCATCTCCAGATGTTTAAATGTTTACTTTTCATTTCCAGTTGTAAAAAATGATTATGGTTGGGTGCACAGCCAGATGAGTTTGCATTGTTATCCACCTACTGGGTCCTTCTCAAGAACCTGGGAGTGACAGATGTTGCTTGACGGAAGGAACTGTCACAGGATGTAAGCTGTTCCCACATAAAGCTGCCCTTTGCAGTTGACTGATGGTGATTTTTGTCATCGTTGTCATCATTATGCTTGTCAGACTGGATTTGGCATTTTTGTCTGTCAGCTTTGTCTGGAACCACCTGTGCTTCGCCGGACAAACACCACACGCACATGCTCAAAAGGTGAGGCTATCCGGTTTAATCGTAGCTTACACGGCGGTCATACAGTAAGCGCTGAAGTTCTTCAATGAGGATTAAAGTCGGAGACGGCCGGTTCCACCATTTATCCGGCTTTATAGAATGCTATTCAAACATCCCGCTCTCGCTCTATTATAGATTTAAAGTAACCGCGCTATCTATCCCATTCTGGTTCGTTGTGGTTCGCCATCTGCTTCCGGATTTCCGCTGTTCTCTTGTATCATCGGTATCTGCTTTATACTAATGTCATTATATCTATCGATCCCCCCGTTTCCCTATACCGTCCACCACCTGATATCACCGTGCCAGGCTAAGCGCTACAACACCCCCCTTCACCGTGTCTTGTTCTTCTGGCCCATCGTGCTTTATACAGTTGCTCATGTTCAGGTGGGTCATATTCCCCAGGAGCTTGTGTCGAGGAGTTTTCTGACACTCGACAATTAACTCTTTCCCAGACCTGGGACAGGCAGATGTTGCTGAATAGTATTAAAGGTATCGTTGCAGGATACCTTTTACCTGTGCCAAGTAACGCTGCCTTTTGCAATTGACTGGTAGTGATTTGGTCAATGCCAATGGTGATGTCCCAGATGTTATTTTTTATACAATATATTTATAATACATTTTATATTATATATTTATATTTATTTATATATGACGTACACATCATTATATATGCCTTTGAGTCAGTGGTGAAATCCAATTTTTTCTACTACCGGTTCTGTGGGCCTGGCTTGGTGGGCGTGGCTTAGTGGGCGAGGCAGGGGAAGGATACTGCAAAATCTCCATTCCCTCCCTACTCCTGGGGGAAGCATATTGCAAAATCTCCATTCCCACCCCACTCTGGGGCCAGCCAGAGGTAGTATTTGCCGGTTCTCCAAACTACTCAAAATTTCCGCTACCAGTTCTCTGAACTGCTCAAAATTTCAGCTTCTGAAGAACGCTACCGGTTCTCCAGAAGCTGTCAGAACCTGCTGGATTTCACCCCTGCTTTGAGTCAGTCCTGAGTCCTGACAACTTGAACTAATCGCCTACTTTCTATGGCTGAGAAAGAGAGACTGGCCAAAAGTCACCTATTCAGAGTTTCCCGAGTTTTAGTCTGATACCTGACCACTACACCAACTGACTCTCAAAGATTATGGTAAAAGTTTATGGTAAGAGTAGTCCAAAACAGGTAAATCATATCTTGTGGGAAAGCTGTCTTATGGGAATATACTTTGCATATGATCAGGACAGACTTCCTTGATACTTTTATTTATATATTAATTTTTACACATTAAGGAGCCAAATCCTAATCAGATTGTGATGTGTTTGTACATGTTTAATTTTCTGAATTTGCCTGAACATTTCAGAAAACAGAAGAATTGTATATAGATTATAACGGAATGGCAGCTAAAGAGAAAAGTCAATGGCATCTGTCATGTGAATCTTAATTTCATTTGCTTTTTAGTTTGCAACCTTTTACTTAGGAGCTTTGGACAATCATGGCATTCTACATACCTATCATTTTTCATTTTTTAAAATCTGCTGTGGACAGAGATGTTACTTTCTGCAGATTTTTCTTTGGCCTTCCAGGAGAAAGATTTCCCCCCCCCACTCTAGAATGCCATTTAGTTTAAAGATATTCCCTTGGCATGATTTGTTTAATGACTGCTTGCTATTTCTCCCTCTTTGAAAAAAGAAAAGCTCCTGGCAACATCTTGTGCCTTTTGTAAGCAGAGGCCTCCCAAAATAAAAAGATGCCCCTCTTGAATATCCTGGTTTTAAAGGCACAGGCACCTCTTTCTCAGGAGAAGGAAAGAAACAGCAGGCAAAGAGAACTAGTTAACCTATTGGGAGATGCAAGAACAAGAGCGTGAAGGATAAAAGATAAAACCAAAAGAACAACTGGTTGCAGAGGATATGGTTTTTGTATAGACAGTTAAAAAGAAAGATTTAAAGCAGATAATAGGGCATTTGAAACTGAGCAGCAGAAGACAAAATTTGAAGCTGATTACGTATTTGATTAAAATGTACAATTTTTTCTACATGCAATTTGAAACAAAGAACAATTGAAAGCTGGCATGATAAAATGGGCTAAGAACTTTTGTGATAACATAATATTGAGATGGTGGGAAAACATGTGGTTAAAAGGATGGAAATTCATCCGTTATAATTTAAGAGAGAATGTTTATAAAATAATATACTGTTGGTATATAGCTCCAGAAAAATTATCAGGAATGTATAAAAAATACTTCAAATTTATATTGTAAATGTGAACAACATGGTCATTTTATCAAATCTGGTAGACTTGTAAAAGAAGCTGATAATGTTGGGTTCAACACAATACAAAGAATTTTAAAAATTAATATTCAGCTGAAATGAGAAGGTTTTTTTGGCTGGGGCTAATAGACAATTAGAAAAGTGCCATGGGAGACTATTTTTTTATATGATCATTGTTGCCAGATGTGTAATATGTGCAAAAATAGAAAGGCTCTGAAATATCCACAACAGAGGAATGAAGATGTTGGAACTAGCAGAGATGGCAAAATTGTTTGCTTAGATTAACAATTACAATTGTTAATGAACGGAAACCCCTTATGAATGTTTTCCTGAAAAAAAGGAAAAAAAACTGATTTATGGATTTGATGATTAGAAAGGGTAGATTATGGAAAGTAGAAAATTATGTTGTAACCTTAGAGAGAGGGTAAAATACAGTCCTCAATTTACAATCATTTAACAATGATTCAAAGTTATGATAGCCTTGGAAAAAGTGACCTACAATTTGTACAGGTAGTCCGCGAGTTACAACCACTATTGAGTCCAAAATTTAAGTTGCTAAGTGAAACATTTGTTAAGTGACTTTTGCCCCATTTTACCACTTTCCTTGCCACATTGGCTTTGCTTGTCAGAAGGTCACAAAAGGTGATCCCATGACCCCAGGATACGGCAACTGTCATAAATATGAAACAGTTGCTAAGCATTTGAATTTTGATCATGTGACTATATGGGGGATGCTGCAACGGTCATGTGAAAAACAGTCATGTCAACAGACCGTTGAACGGTCAGTAAATGAATTGTTGTAAATCAAGGACTGTATTCACAACCCCAGGTCACACGATCACAATTGGGGCTCTTGGCAACCAGCTTGCTTTTACGATCAGTTGCAGCATTCCTTAAGGATCATGTGATAGCAATTTCTTACCTGTTCCTTGATTTCCAACCAAAAAAAAAACAAAACAAAACGGGGAAGTTGGATTAGTTTAAGAACTAGCCATTCAAATTGTAAAATAGGGTCTGACTGGATTTATGATTCCAACAATTTACAACAAATTCCAATCCCAATTGTGGTTGTAAATTGAGGATTACTACCTATATAAATGTGCTTGTAGCTGCTTTTAGGAAGTTTGAAGGCCACTTATTACTTCGTGA